GTGTGTCGCTTCAAGACAACACCAAGTCAGTTGTCCATGTCCTGGGAGCATATCGAACCACTCAGGATGAACTGCAGTGTACGGAGCACAGGTAGAAAACGATCAGTGGCATATGCTGAATGCAGGTAATACAGCTGTAGTGTCACTTCAATGTGTTTTATTCACGTTCACGTGGCCAAAGGCATTACAGAGATAACTCCGTGGGCAAATATACCACACCATGATTAGTTCGCAGGCATACTTGTGGCCCAGATCACCCATAGCCCTTGCCGGATAATGCTCGAAAAACTGGTTTATTCTGCTTGAAAAGCATTGAAATTGGCAGAACCATACACACAAGGCATATGGCAGGCACCTTCTTTCATTCTTTACCCACATAGTGTGATACCACACTGAACCGGCATGCATGAAACATACCAGAAAAAGTACCAAATGTTGCCAATTTTTCTGCCATGCAGCAAGGGCTCTAATCACTCGTGACCCACATGAGCAACTTTTTATACATTTTTATTTTTAAACCCACATTATTTGCAAGCTCCTCCTTGGCATTCGTCTTGTTCAGCACTCTCGGTAGGCTGATCTAGTGCTGCTATGTTATGCATTCATGATTGCTCACTAATTTTCGTAGTTTGAGCACTCTAGAGCGACGAGCTATATTAATTTCTGTGTTGCCACCTTTTCCCCATGGCCGGTATTTCGGCTGACTTAACCCTTTTACGGTCTCACATTTGAAAATCGATCACCGGTGATCGATTTTTTCAAACTATCGTAACTCAGTCAATGTTTGAGCAAATTTGAACATCTAAATATCTGGGTTGAAGAGAAAGCTCCAGGCTATCCGTAGGAACAATCGCCGAAGCGATAGAGTGAACAGCTGCGATGCTGCGAAGCTCGCGATCTGCGTCACGGCTCATTTGCGATTTGAGTGGGCGAGCTGGGTCTTGAGGACGGGTTTTTCCCTTTGCAGCTAGCTGTCGCCATAGAGACACGGATTCAAATGAGAGTATGTGTTATACGCATCCCATATTATTAAGGGGTCGTCCGCAATTATCGAAAGTTTTTTCCAATCCGTAGTAGCTTCGAAAGTGGGTGGGTGGGTCAAGGCCAGTTACGGATTGAAAAACTTCCGAAATGACACGTGCGCGTGCCACGTGTACATCTACGTGTAGCCCCTGTTTTCCACGCGCGGCTGCGCGCGAACTGTCCACTACAAATATTTTTGTAGTTCTGGCAGTTTCTGCGCCCCGGCGCGCGCTTCCTTGGCTGCTCCTGGGCCGGGGATCATAAAGTATTAGTTCGGCGCATTCGACGGCGAGTCGACACTTTCTATTTTTGAGTTTCACTGTCTCCTTCGTCCAGAGTACCGTCTTCCATGCACTCCTTTGAAGGCCTTCCGTCTAGCGCTGGCGCTGACGACTGTTATTGACTATGTCCAGACAGGCGACGTTGTTTGGAAAGGCGGTGAAGAAGCAACCCTTTTTCAAAACCGCTGGTGACTCTGATTGTGTGTCCATCAATAATATTTTATTACGGACTGGGGGAGGGGGGTGGGTGGGTGGGTGAGGAAAAATTTGAAGCTACTACGGATTGGAAAACACTTTCGATAATTGCGGACGACCCCTAAGGCCACGGTAAAAAATATCTTTGATTCTCAAGTACGCGCGCATCGATTTTTGGTGGCGCACCGACGATTTTTTTTATTTCTATGCATGCATATGCGTGCATGAAAACGGTCAATGCGAAAGGCATGAATCCGGGAGTAGTAAAATACCGGTATTTTTCTACTCCCTGGCCTGAATAATAAAATAAATTATAAATTAATTATGAACCTGTGACGTACACGTACACATGTGTGACCCTATCTTTGGAAATAAAAAAATTGTGGGAATTAAAATAAAAAATCGCTCGCTCGCACCGATTTTCACAGGCTCATGACCTGAGAATCAACTTTATTTTTTACCATGGCCTAAGATTGATATTTATTTTTTCCTAGATCGTGGGGACACGATTTTTGTTCCCCGCGGGGGGAGGTAATGTTATACGCATCCCATATTTGGATCTTGACCCCGGCATGATTCATACACACTCCATTACCCCCTACCCCTGCACGCAGTAATTCATACACACTCCATTACCCCCTACCCCTGCATGCAGTAATTCGTACACATTCCATTACCCCCTACCCCTACCCCTGCATGCAGTAATTCGTACACATTCCATTACCCCCTACCCCTGCATGCTGTATAGTCTGTTTCAAAAAGATTTACAATCAGGTTTGGGTCTTAAAAAGTATGAAGATAAGGGAAATTTGGACAACAAAGTACATAGAATGGCTTGTTAGGACACGGCAAATTCTTCTGTGAAGGTTTCGGAACAATTGGACCCACCGTTAAGGAGTTAGAATTTCGGCCAGGTTTCCGGCCTTTTCCCATGGTTTATAATTTGCCCAGGAAGCCAGTATCGATTTGTTATCAAAACCCACGATTTATTCCTTCCTTTTTGGCCTTGTGGTTATGAATGCTGTCTGCTGACCATGAAGTTGTGAGTTCAAATCCCAACCTATCCTCAAGTCATACTTTTTTTTTCATTGTTTTGGTGATCAAGCTGGTACAAGACAAAGAAGATGGCTGCACCAAACGACTTGTTGTTGGAGCTCGCGCTTCCTGCCGAACTGACTGACACTTCACTGGCTCATGCCATGTGAACACACCCACAACACTGCAATGGGGTGAGTGAATTATAAATATAATGGAAGTCATCCGTGATCGCGCTGTAGCTTTTTGAGATTTATTTTAGTATTTCAAGATCGCCAATTTATTTGAATTTAGCAGTCAACGCCGTCTTCCATCAGCTTTCACAAGCGTCTGCTTTTCTCAAAATGTCGAAGTCACACGGATAGCTTTGCCAAGTCATGGCCTTGGGAATGAGTCCGTGTCGATATCGTTTTCGTCACACGGTGAGTAAATTGCATCGTAGCTCAAAGAAACTATTTTGGTCACAAAATGAATTGGGACCCATGCAGCTCGTCAACATTTACAACACTTTCGTTTCGACATGTCCTCTCTGACTCCATTATCGATACGAGGAAGAACTCGTTTGTTGTAAACCAGACGTACATGACTGTATCAACGTGAGTGAGTTGTCATTTTTCCTGCTTTCGCGCGGAATATTTCTTCGAGTTCACAGTGAGTTTTTCCAGGTAGCGCTCGAGTGCTCATACGGTAAGACGCCAAACTCCGCGGGCGATCGCCAGGATTGTAAATCTTTTTGAAACGGACTGTAGTTCATACGCACTCCATTACCCCCTACCCCTAGCCCTGCATGCAGTAGTTCGTACACACTTCATAGCCATATTTGACCCATTACCCCCTACCCCTAGCCTTGCATGCAGTAGTTCGTACGTACACACTTATAACCATATTTGACCCATTTCCCCGCCTGCCCTCTTCGTTCACACCCTTATTCTGAGACCTCCAGCTGAGTGTTCGTCCTCGCTGTCGCAGTTTCCCTCAGTCAATTTTTTAAAGTAATCTCCAGCCGAGTGTTCGTCCTCGCTGTCGTAGTACCCTCTGTCACTCTTTTTGTTTACAAGTATTAATCTCCAGCCGAGTGTTCGTCCTCGCTGTCGAGTTTGACCTGTGGATGTTGGTGTGTCTGCTGTGGTGTCCGGTGTTGCGTGTTTGTTTTTCTCTCTGTTGGTTTCGGTTGCGCGTGATGTGCAGGACCATCACCCTGCAACTCCAACGACCCCCTCCTTCACCGCCTCATCCGCACCGACATCACCGCCGACATCACCACCAGCAACACCACCAACATCACCCCCGACAACACCACCAACATCACCCCCGACATCACCACCAACCAAACCTTCAACAACACCTTCAGCAACAAATCCAACATCAACTGCAACCACAACACCCTTCCCAGCACACAACACCACCACGCCCACTAATGCCACCGGAGGATGCTCGACGGACGATTGAGCGACGCCGCAATACACGCCAGACCCGCCGTCGTCGAACCCCCGCCTTCATCGCCAGGTCTCGGCGACGGGCCGCAGCTCGCCTCCAACAGCGGGCCCGACCCCGGGCGATTCCTCCCCCACCGACCACACCTCCACCACCACCGCCACCGTCGAACCCGTCGGGCCGGTTCGACCGTTTCAGCCAGGACCCAGAACTGGTTTCGGAGGCCGACTGGTCCGATGCAGAGTAGGATCCACTGTAGAGTAGTATATTAATTTTAGAATAATTAATTGCACATGTGGGTATCTGCGGAATGAGTGCATGTTTGACTTGTATGTGCGTAGTGGTGTACGTGTACGTATATGTGTGCTTGTTACAATGCATGCCTAATTCTTAGTATTATCAATTTTTTTTCCTAGATCGTGGGGACATGATTTTTGTTCCCCACGGGGGGAGGTAATGTTATACGCATCCCATATTTGGATCTCGAACCCACGACCCTGAGATTAAGAGATTAAGATTAAGATTAATAACATATGGACTCGCAGCACTCCTCACAAAAAATGTGAGCTCGATGTGAGCAAGGAGAGGGAAATGGCTGTTGAATCTTGTTTCTCGTCGTGAATCAAGCACTGGGGCGATGTCGCTGCGCTGCAGCGCTGGATCCACGGCACGCTTGGTGTCGAATTGTAGCTCGGCGTGTTGCTCGTGTCCAGAGCTTTCCAGAGAGGCCAAGATCACGAAAATCAGCGAAGGGAAACTGAAGTTATGGATGAATCAAGGTACGAAATTGTTGAATTCTGTAAATAGCCTCATTTTGACGGGATTCTGAGACCGTTAAAGGGTTAAAGCTTAAAAAATTGTTGCTCTTCAAAGCAAGGAATGAGAATGATAATGTTTGTACAAGAAAGTTTCTATTCTCCGTATTGTACAAACACTCTCTCTGACTTTTGTTGCTATCATGCCGAAAGAAGAAAGCTGCAAAAAGTCTTCGTCCAAAGAGGTCAACACAAGGCTGTGTTGCAAAGATGGTGGTGAGCATCTTTGGGAAGCGGCTGTAATGTTGTTCTCCAGCTGCGAATACATAATATCCAACTTCTATTACATACACATGTACAGTGCACTGCAACACCTCGGGAGAATGAAGTTGAAGGCACCACTGCAGCTGTACTGAGGGTTGATTAATAGCCACTAGCCATGCATCGACTAGGCGCCAGGCGCGAACTGATGGTGATGGTGGCGGCGGTGAGAAGGAGAGCTCTGTTCCAGAATAACTTTGCAGCCTAGAGAGCGTGTATGGGCAGGCGTGTGTTTACCGCCATATTGTCAGGTGTGTGTGTGTGTGTTACCATCATATTAATCAACTTCAGCATCTGCTTTGGCTAATTGACATCAGAAGTACGTACCGCGCAACCAGAATCTCATGCTGTTCCAGTGAGCAAGGGTTGGTGCGAATTTGTTGGCGTCTCGCTGAGGAGCGACTTTCCCTTCTGTCTCCACTTGTACACCGGACAAGAGGGACAGCAGAGACACAGTACAACACTGGCAGCACTGATGATGCCCAGCAAGCCAGAAACGGCGATGACGGCAATTTTCCTGCACGGACAGAAACATAACCACAGTCAACTCCTGATATAATGAAGACCATTGTGCAGGAGATTTAGTATGTGTATAGCTGAAGTTTGTTATAACAGAAATGCACTCACACTATACAAGCAGCAAGTCATGACTGGCAAGTGGCCCACGACAGTATGAGTGCACTTGGTTTACACGCGGCCCTACACTGCCTGGGAGCGGTTTTTCCAGCCGTGCTGCTACCCACAGTCAACTGGGAACTTGTGGCCAGGCACAAGGGGTACATGGATGCAGCTAATGGGGTCGTTTTCGGCACTTATGCCAGTGGTCATGGTGGTTGTGAGACTTATCTACTCACCCCCACTGTTAGGCGCTGCATCTGCCGCTAGGATTTGTCGGGTGTTAGCGGCCGTCGTGAGTTCCCTTCGGGACCGGACACGATAATTTACTTACTTACTACACGATTTGGTTCATTATAAACAAAAAACTGTTAGCTATATAAGGGTCACGTTTGTATGCGTTCAAACTGGGATATGCACATTGTTCTTGTGCTCACTGAGTCAGTGTTGTGTGGAAAAGCCAGCTTGGGACTTTGTTGCTCTTTTGACTACTGCCCTCTGACACAGTCTGTCTCTCTCACTCTCTCTCTCACTCTCTCTCACTCTCTCTCACGCTCTCTCTCTCTCTCTCTCTCTCTCTCTCTCTCTCTATCTCTCTCTCTCTCTCTCTCTCTCTCTCTCTCTCTCTCTCTCTATCTCTCTCTCTCTCTATCTCTCTCTATCTCTCTCTCTCTCTCTCTCTCTCTCTATCTCTCACTCACTCTCTCTCTCTCTCTCACTCTCTCTCTCTCTCTCTCTCTCTCTCTCTCTCTCTCTCCCTCTCTCTCTCTCTCTCTGTGTCACAGCTCTAAGGTAACTTTTGTTAGGTATGCATGATGACAAACTGAGCTTTTGCAAGAGTCTGACCTACCATGCAGAGAATCGAGGATCACAGCACCGCCAATAACCGAAGTGATCTGGGCCGCAGCAAGCAGTCTCATCTTCAAAGCCTTTCTGTGGACACACCTTCCCGTATGGGCCACATGGTATGCCAGCGGAAACTGCAGTACACATTGACATCAAACCAAAGTAAAGAGCACTTGGTCAAGTGCACAGGGTCAAGTTTGTTTTTGACTACAGATGCTTGATGTAGTGTAGGGTGTGTGTAGCGGAAAATCAGTATGAAGAGACATTCTCCATGATGAGTGCCATCATCCAGACTCGGGATTAGAGCCAGAGACTTTGCAATACTGACCAGCTGGGTCATGATGCAGCCATCACACAGCACCACTCACACATCCTTTGCAACCATGAAGTTGCAGTACTGACCAATGAAATCCCACCCGCAATGGTCGTGCGCCCTACTTCAACCAGCCATCGGTGGCCTGAAGCTGTACAAAAAATTGCCCGGCGGCTTTACCCAGGACATTCATTCCTTAGATGCAAACTACAGCCAGGGGAGCTCTGATAAGGGAGACGTACCCTCGTGGGGAGCAAGAAAGTGTAGAGTGGAAATCGCCTAGTACGCACCCTGATACGTACACTTGTTGGATACGGACATTGGACCTAGTTCGGGCCACACGTGTCTCCACCCATATGCATTATTGAAGCATATTTGGATATTAAGCACCTTGGATATTAAGTACACTTTCCTGCAGCCCATCATGGAGGTACATCTTATCAGAGTTCTACTGTACTTAGTATCAGAGGTACTTATTATCCAAGGTACTTATTATCCAAGGTACTTATTATCCAAGGTACAGTAAAATCTGGTGTGAGGCCTTCTTCAGACTAGGTACAAAACAGCCTATAAGTCACATTTACATAGAAGTTTACAAGACAACAACAAGAATCTGGCAGGAAGCCTAAAAAGCTGCCCAATCCTTTCAGGCAGGGTGCGAACCCTTGTACAAGGCAACTTTCCTGCATTTATCGTACTTTCACCAACCATCGTACAAATGTACAAACTTTGTACGACTGCCGGCTGCTTTCACACATCCCAGGTCCATTGCGGAATAGCGTGGGGTCAAAGGTTGCCTGTATACTGCATGTAAAATGTGTAGTCTGAATGCGGGCTTGGAAAAATGTTGCCTTTTAGGTTTTATGTGATTTTGTACTGGATGTTCTATGTACGTAGTCTGCAGAGGGCCTAAGCGACCTCTGGGTTTAGCGACCACCTGCTCTTAACGACCGTTTTTCCATGCACCGACAGTTCTACACAGACACTCTGGGACCTGGTGCTAAAGACCACCTGGCTTTAACGACCCCTTTTGCTTGCACCGTGGGGTGGCCGCTTAAACCAGGTTTTTACTGTACTTACACTCATTCCAAACATACAGCAAAACCTATAATGGCGACCACTCGGATATGGTGACCACTCGGATATGGTGACCACTCGGATATGGTGACCACTCGACCATGGCGACCACTTTTCCTTCTCACGGACGCATTCACATTCAAAACAGCTCGGATAAGGCGACCACTCGCTCAACGTGACCGACGACCGCCCACCCGCGACCGCGTTGCACCGTGCCACATGCAGTACAATCCAAATGTACGCATTATTGCACTGTGCACCATGCATAAACATCATAGAAGCAGGATTATAAGAGAATGCAAGGAGGAGAGTCTGTCTGATATGGAGCAAAGTGCTGATGTGACTGTTAGAGTGGCTCAATGTGTTAAAGACCGACCGTGTCCTGAACACGAACTTGCGATTGTGTGCTTTACATGCATATTTGATGAATTTAGCCTCATTATCAGTGGCAAAAAATCCCTTTTCCAGCTTCATCACTTTGGATAGAACTAATGACTAGCTAGGGGCATGTTTGATTGGTAAGGATCGGGATCGGGATCCAGATCTCAGATCCGTCCGATCCTTTAGAGTCAACTGAACACTTTATTTTGGACCTTGACTGTTGCCATGTTGACGGAGTAATAAAATGGCGCTCACAAGTCACCCAAAAGGGTGAAAGTCGTACTCATCACGCGTGCGTCGTACAAAAGTCAACAAGCTTTATCTCGATCCACGCGTGCATACCACACTGTGTACAAAAGTGATTTTACCTGCCATATACCTGTCCCTCCAGAAACTTGCGGAGACATTTCGGAAATATCGCGGAAAAAGTTGCGAGGTAAAATGCCACAAATTGCGGGCAATATTGCGGATTTTGTCAAATATTGCGGGATTATTGTGGTAAATTGCGGAAATTGCGGCCGATTTTGGTACTTGTACTGTAGTGGTGTACGATGTACGGGTCGTACAGCATAAATCATGCATGACAAAACAGAACGTACGTGTGCTGCGCTGACTGTGTTCAACTGCAAGACAGCTTTCCTCCATCCTCGGACAACACTCGACGCGAGCCTTATTTTGTGACTTGTCAGCCGCTGATTTGACCAGAAACTTCTCCATTCTGGTGTCGATCTCGCAAGTAAACTACTGATGAGCTTGAAGAACTAAACAACTTCGAAGAAAGACCCGAATATCGCGGTTGCTTTTCGAAATATCGCGGTGCTTTTCAAGTATCAAGGACAGTTTTCTACAATAACGCGGATGATTTTTCAAATATCGCGGATATCACGGACTTTTGTTCAAATCGCGGAAAACAACGCGGCCGCGGAATCGCAAGTTCCTGGAGGGACAGCATATACGCACAAAGGTCACATTTGGATCCGTTGAATCCGGTCAACCCTGCTCCCCGAGGTGGGTTGACCGGGTCCAAATCCGAAGGATCCGGATCCGAATTCGACCAATCGAAAGGGTGCGAGTCCAGTGGATCCGGTGGATCGGGATCCCGATCCTAGCAATCGAACACGCCCTAGACAGGCCCGGCGGAACCGGTCCGGTTGGTCAGGCCATGGCTGGTCGAACCTTTTGGCTACCGAAGTGTTTGCTGCTGAGGAGGTCATGCATATACCAGGTATCCCCTCCATATCATACACAAACTGTATGAAAGTCATGTGACTACCCTCCATATCATACACAAACTGTATGAAAGTCATGTGTATACCCTCCATATCATACACAAACTGTATGAAAGTCATGTGACTACCCTCCATATCATACACAAACTGTATGAAAGTCATGTGTATACCCTCCATATCATACACAAACTGTATGAAAGTCATGTGTATACCCTCCATATCATACACAAACTGTATAAAAGGCTAGGGTATGGCCGGACCAATCAAAAACTGCTTCCACCGGTCCTGCGGCTAGATCTTTGTCCGAAAAAGTTTTCATATGAAATGTCTTCAGGGCTCATTTCTCATTGGAAGTAGCAGTATACTAAACACGGCCCTGCACATTCAACACCCAACCAAGTCTATGGGATTCTACAAGATTCTACGGGATTCTACGGGATTTCGTGCAACGTGCATAGGGCTTATAAAAATCAATACCTCCTGCCGCCCCTGCATGCAGAGCACTGATGCAAGATAACAAGTCCTTTAAAATGCAGAACTTACCAGAGAACGTGCAAAGGGAAAGTACGACGACAGCCAACACTGGAAGAAATCCGGAAGCCATGGCGAGGCTGCTTGAGAATTCGGGCAAGATGGGTGGGGCCAACAAGGCTTTTCAACACAAGGTTCAAAGGGTAGGAGATATCGTTTAGGAAATTTTCTACAAACATCGATCAATGGAAGGCAAAGAGACGAAAAAGAAACGGCAAGAAAACCAGAACAAGAAGACTACAAAAGGAACATTACAAGATGTCCAGAAATGGATCATAGAGAAATTTTAGTGCCAGATTATCGTACCACGCAGTACGGTGCGGTACAACACTACGCGGGATCACGTACGTTCACAAAACACCTCCAGCTATATATACACGGTTTTGAGATACTTGATGCCAAAAGAAAACAAAAAGGTCAAGAGTACAAATCTGACATGGCCTTTAAGTGCTCCTGGCTACAGCTCCAAGCCGCCATAAGAGAGAGGGAAACACAAGACGAGAGCGTTTGATCGCGTCCAGCATCAACAATTACTCGTTGCGCTCCATGGCGTGTTCATGCAAGCGCCCTGCGTTGGTTTGCGTCGTGCCTCGCCGGGAGATCTCAGCGTGTCGTCACGCAAGCCAGCCAGTCTTCAAGTCTTGCAGTGTCTCGAGGAGTTCCCCAGGGAAGTATTTTAGGCCCTACCCTTTTTAATGTCTACCTGAGGGACCTTCCCCGGCAGATAAATACCGACAAAACCGTTGTCATGCAAATCCATCCCAAACGTGCCACCCGGGAGTCAGCAACAACAACAAAGGCAACAATTGTAATGTTCATCGCTCCCAACTTCCCAAGCGCTCGCCGGTCTGTCCCGCGCCCACTATCTGTATCGATGGTAAAGTACTGACAGAAGCGTCCAGTGCTCGCTGTCTGGGGGTTGTAATTGACAACAAGCTCTCGTTCACACCTCATTGTGATAAGCTTGTTGCCAAGGTGTCACGCAAATTTGGTGCTCTACGGCGTTCTTTTCGTCAACTGTCCCCGTGCGCTTGTCGCCTTTATGTGCTATGCGTAATTCAATCTGATCTAGAATTTGCATTTCAATCTTTCTTACCCTGCTTATCTGCAAAAGACCGTGAGCGCCTATTTGCTGTTCACCGTCGTGCGATCCGAGCTGCCTGTGGTGCACATTACTGTGCTGACGTGGACCCCCTTTACCACTCTCTTAAGCTATGTCCTCTGGACCACCGTTTCTTACAGTTGTTCATTAAATTTATCTTTCAGTGTAAAGTAGCTCACCCGGTTGCCAGTTTAGATTCTCTATTTTGTAGGCACAGTACACCTGCTTACACCACTCGCGGCTTTGATCTTCTGCAAATAATCTTTCGTTATGCCGATATAAGACTGCATGCGGGTATCGCTCATTGTCTAGTAGGATTGCTTTACTTAGGAATGCTCTGCCCTTTGAAATGAAGTCTTGCAATACGTCTTCTGCATTTAACGCCCATCTTGCCTGCCTTCTTAATGACGGGCCACAATGTACCCGGTTAAAACAGCTCCTTTTTGAAAATGTTTTCAATGAGTGATGTGTCGCTTTGTTTTGCTCTAATTGGTGCTTTTCTCCAATGTCATGCAGTCGTATTTGTTCAGCTTTTATTTCTTGTGTACTTGCATACTGGTATTAGTTTAGTCCCACAACCTGCGATAAAATGATCAGCTGTAGCACCTACTCCACTTTTATGTTTTATGTATCTATGTCATTCGGATCTTCCCAAGTTATACATTGTACTGTTGAGATACCGAATTCAAATAAATCAATACCAATACCAATACCAACTGCAAATCACCTTGTCAAATGTTACGCTAGGGGAAGTGGAAAGCACCAGATGCCTAGGAGTCATTGTTGACAATAAGCTGTCCTTTGACCAACACATAAACAATGTCGTCCGGAAAGCCTCACGGAAGATCGGTGTACTGCGCCGATCTTTCCGCCAGATGAACCTGTTTGCCCGCCGTACTTTCGTTGTCGGTGTTATCCAGCCTGATCTAGAATATGCTCTCCCTGTATGCCTTTCGTTTATATCCGCTAAAAATAGAAACAAGCTAGCCTCACTCCACCCCAAGCTAATATCACGCCACTTCTTCACCACCTCAATGTTTCCTCTTTCCAATATCGATCAGTATTTTTGTTCCTTGTATTCATTTTCCACTGTTACTGTATTAAACCGGCTGTTTGCTTGCAGTCCCTCTTTCCCATCTGTACGTCTACCCGAACTACTCGCGGCTCAACAACTCATAACATGAGTATCAAGATCTATGGCTGGCTTTCTGTCCTTTTCAAGACATGTATACGGAAGTGCTGCGCCCATTATTAGCGCCCACACATCCACAGCAGAAGGATAAAGATATGTTGGATAGGCTGTGCGAACGAGTTGGTCATAGCAAATTTGGGACGCTAAAAAGATCAAAGAGCGTCAGTTGCTCTCTGCCAGTCAAGGCGCAGCAGGTAGTCTACTTAGGCTCCGGCGGATTATGCTCGCGAAATCATGGAATTATGCATGCTTTCATGGATTCTCGCATTATGCTCGCAAATCCTTTGGCACACGGGGCCGCCGGGATACATATTCACTTTGTTGTACTTATGTACGTATGGAGCCTCAAAGTTCGGAAAATTGTGCTGTTTTCGTGCTTGCAAGTGGCCATAAGTACAACAAAATGTTACATGAGTATCCCCATACTGTACCAAGGTGTCCCTGTATTTTTTTTTTTTTTTTTTTTTTACTATTGACACAGCCCTCCTGGAATACAGGTGGAGAACAAAAGGAAACGAGGAAAAGGACAAAACATAGGGGATGTAGGGACGACGTGCTGATGTGCTGGGAGCAACTCAACCGACCAGAGGTCTCGGCGTCAGCGTTGCAACTAGGCATCGAAAAATGTGTGTTTGGGTGGGGGGGGGGGGGGCTGCACAAGAACAACTGCAAACAAACAAAAGCTAGAGGATACCACAAATAATAACTTGGTGCGAAATAATGAGAAGAAAATAATGACGCCCAAAAGCGCTAAATACGAAATTAAGAAAAAGGAAAATAATAAACCACATAGCGCTAAAGCTGCACCAAATAATAATTTAAATTATAACTAAACCGGGTGGAAAACCAAGAAATCATAACAAACAAGACAAACTAAATAATAAATTAATGATAAAAAATTAAATAATAAAAGGTAAATGAAGCCCAATATCATCAGCATAGCCGAACCAAGGAACATGACCCGTGCCACATGTATGCTAGAAATCAACATGGAAAAGAGAAAACATTACTTCTTCTCAGTATTCATTAGTTGACATCTTTTCAAAAGATGTTTTCATTGTCAAAATAAATAGTTTGAGTTACCTTTGAAAAATATCATGTTCAACTGTCTTCGTGATCGCCATACTCGTCCAACCGATGTCACCCTCACCCCGCGAATAATGAGCTCATCTCTCCCGTAGCTCCACCTCTCCTTCCATCATGACTGAACATCAACTATACCTCTTCAAGGGTTTTAAAAATTATTAGAGTACTATCCATAGCTTGCATGCAGTGCACAGTCATGGCTGCTAAAATCCAGAGGTCATGACTTCGTAACATGCATAATGTACATGCACGTGGAGTTTTGCGAACTACCCGCCACTATCTCGTCCGCCCCAGGAATCCAGGGCCAGGATACCTAATAAAGGCTGATTCACTTGTATCTTCTGCTACATGTACTGTAGCAACGTGAGAAAGAACTTTGCCGAAGACGAGTTTGAGCGTACAATAATGTATTGCCATGATTTCTACCCTGCTTTCCATTGAAAACTCTATCTGCATGACCTCCGAACCCATTACCATGCAGACCACCAGCACTGATCAGGTGCATTGTACACAATTGTGTAGCCTACATACTAGAACTGTGGTACACTTGTGTGGTTATGCTCCTTCCTACGAAAGGATACCAAATTATGCTCCAAATTCTCAACCACCAAATTATGCCAATAGGGCTTGAAAGTGCTACGTCACAGCATAGCAACAATTTCAAAAATTCAAAAACTGGATCCACTTGGATCCAGTTTTTGCATGGATTTAAGCACATTTCAAGCCGTCTTACCCCCAGCATGGTGATGTAGCCAGTGAAACTGTCTGATTTGACTACTAAGGGGCGGGGTTGGCGAAATAAAAGTCACACCTGCATGCGACATGAGTGGGTTGCTATGCACCCACATACTTAGGCAATAGCAAAGTCACACCTTAGTGGATCCAAAAATAGAAATCTGGTGTCAACTTACTACTCCCTGGCCGTTTTGACGTCATCACTTTCAAGCCCTATAATTATGCCGGCATAGTCCGCCGCCCGCCGGTGTCTATTGCACAGCAAGAAACATGATGGCACATAAAACATGTTTGAAAGTCATTGGGAAAGTGTACTTCTAGCCTCTTCTGTGAACATACACCAGTAAGACTACATGTATAATTATGTGTAAGTAAGTGGCTGCGTTGGAGTATGCGGACAATTAGAAAAGTTTGCCAGACTCAGAGGCACATGAAAGTCAATTTTAATAAAAATTTATTATCTTGCTCCAGTAGCTGCCATGGCACAGTCCCGGCTAATGGTATAGCAATGCAGAACAGAAATACAAGGCATTGAGGCAGTATATAAAACTACTTCTATATGAGTCCCGAAAATCCAATGGGCCATGCGAGAAAACTGGGAAGTCATATTTGTCTCAACATTGTTCTTTAGTCAAGTCAGTCAAGAAATCCAAGCCTGCGGGCTAGTGCCATCAAGTCGGAAGTGTGTCGCTTCAAGACAACACCAAGTCAGTTGTCCATGTCCTGGGAGCATATCGAACCACTCAGGATGAACTGCAGTGTATAGAGCACAGGTAGAAAACGATCAGTGGCATAATATGCTGAATGCACTGGTAATACAGCCGCATTGTTACTTTAATGTGTTTTAACCACGTTCACGTAGTCAAAGGTATTACAGAGATGACTCGATGGTCAAATATTACCACTGCGGCTATGATTATTTCGCAGGTATACTTGTGGCCCAGATCACCCATAGCCCTTGACGGATATTGCTCGAAAATAGGCAGATTCCGCTCGAAAAGCATTGAAATTGGCAGAATAATACATACCTTATGGCAGGCACTTCCTTGAATTCTGCTCCATTTTTTTATCCACATACCAAACATGCATGAAACATACCGGAAAAAGTACCAAATTCTGCCAGTTTTTCTGCCGTCATTATCCGCCATGGGCTAATCACCCCTGACTCACACAAGCAACTTTTTTAAATCTATTTTCTCTCTCAAATGTCTTCAGGAAGTGCATGTTGCTGCAGGTTGTGGCCTTCACTACTTCACCTGGCTATTTAGCCCATATAGTTTGTAATTGTAATTTTATTTTCATTGCTATCGGGTTCGGCCTCATTTTCTCTGTGCTGCGCTGAGGAGTTCACAAAGAACGAAACAGCATGCTGTCCACAGATTGAGTGGTTTGTAAATTAGTAACTTTCACAGACCTAAATTCAACTGTGCTAACGAACTATCAATCGCCCGCAGAAAAATTCCAGCAGGTTTTCGTGTTTTCTCAATATCATGTGTGTAACCGTAGTTATTAGAACAAGTGAATGTCTGCAAATGGAGTCGCAAGCACTCACTCTTTATAAAATATGCTCACACCTTGCACAATCATAGCTCTTCAAAGCAAGGAATGATAGAGTTCCTGTAGAAATACGTTTCCATTCCCCGTTTTGTACTTGAGTTCAAACTCTCTATCTCTCTCTGATGCTATCATGTCAGAGAAGCACAGCTGCAGAAGGGTTTCCTCTACTTCTAAAAGCAGTGAATATTAGTGAAACTAGTGGTGAGTATCTTTGGGAAATGGCCAGCTGCGAATCAGTAATAATCCAATTTCTATTACATACACTGCGGCATCTGCTTTGGCTAATTTCACATCAGACATCTATGTACGTACCGTGTCACTAGAAGCTCACGTAGTAGCAGTGCGCAAAGATTGGTACGACTTTGTTGGCGTCACACTGAGGAGTGCCTTTCCCTTCTCTCTCCTCTTGTACACCGGACAAGAGGGGCAGCAGAAACACAGTATGACACCACCAGCGCCGATGATGCCAAGCAAGCCCGAGCTGGCGATGAGGGCAATTTTTCTGCAGGGACACGGAAACGTACGCAGGTGCACGTGCATGGGCACATGGTATTGATCTTTCCGTTAGAACTTGTCCTCCGGAAAGTGAGACGGTAGTTATGCCATTTCCGTTTGGCGAAGTGAAATCAAAGTCTATGGTAAAAACATTGTTAGGCGGAAGATCCCCGTACAGAGTGCAGGATCTGCACATAGGTGCCATTCACAAGAATCCTAACCCAATTGTGCTTGAAGTGACTTAGTTGTGGGACATTGAATAGTACGTATTTTGGTTCCACTGCATTTGGCTCCAAATCTCACATGCATATCATGCTCTATGAATTTCCTGGTGGCAGTAGTTTTCAAGAGTTTCCACGGGAACGGAGACAGTTTAAAAAAAGTTTCTAAACCTTTACAGTTTGAAACTCGGATGTTGAGCCAATAATACCATACTCGCACGATTAGAGCCCTCTCTTGAATAGTGCCCTATCTCGAATAGTGCCCCAGTCTCTATGAGCAATTGAACAAAGTAAAGCCCTCTCTTGAATAGCACCCCCCCCCCCCCCTCCCCAGGCTTGTAACCAAGTATATGTGCAAGTTAGGTGTTCTTTTGCTGATGTACTTGTCCATGTCATTGCACTGGTGATTCCAGGATCAAAATCGCAGTTCTTGTTGCCGTTTCTGTTGAGTCGTGGTAGTTTACAGGAACTTTTAAAAGGCTCTGTATTTCTTTGCGTTCTTTGTTTTTATGCTGGATGGCGTAAATGGACCAGCATTGAAAAAATAGTGCCCTCTCTTGAATAGTGCCCTCTCTTGAATAATGCCCTCTCTTGAATAGTGCCCTCTCTTGAATAATGCCCTCTCTTGAATAATGCCCTCTCTTGAATAGTGCCCTCTCTTGAATAATGCCCTCTCTTGAATAATGCCCTCTCTTGAATAATGCCCTCTCTTGAATAGTGCCCTCTCTTGAATAATGCCCTCTCTTGATTAATGCCCTCTCTTGAATAATGCCCTCTCTTGAATAGCGCCCTCTCTTGAATAATGCCCTCTCTTGAATAGTGCCCTCTCTTGAATAATGCCCTCTCTTGAATAGTGCCCTCTCTTGAATAATGCCCTCTCTTGAATAGTACCCCATCTGTGATGGACATTGAAAAAAGAAAGTACCCCAGGGGCACTAATCACACGAGTACTGTAAATGTAAAAAGGAATTGACACATGGATAAAAGTTGAGAGTAACTGTCCACTACATGTACTGTATTCTTGGCTCAACATCCGAGTTTCAAATTGCACACCTGATGAGCCGTGACGAACCGTATGGCACAACGTACCGTATTTCTCCAATTATAACTCGCACTCGATTATAAGTCGCACCCCCATTTAAGCAATATTGTTTTGATATATTCACTTCAGCAGTAAGCCATTCTCGATTGTAAGTCACACCCCCTTTTTCCCTTGAATTTTAGTGTAAAGAAGGTGCGACATATATTCGGGGAAATATGGTACGTTGTGTGAAACTACTTGTTTTGTAGTCAACTAGTCCATTACATTGTCATGCATGAGGAGTACTGTAGGAGTTTGGCGTTCGGTTTTGTACAATTTGTTTTCACAAAGCGTCCCCTTCTTTGCCTATTTTTGATATTTCTGAGCCACCCAAATGGGGTGGAGTGCTGCTTTACTGCTTCGAATCAAGTGTAGTTAAACCGCTTTGTCAAGTATCTTACTGGTCTCGTCATAGTCCAGTAACAGTCAACGTTCTTTGTTCCCGGGGGACTTAAGCTTATACTAATTTTCTTTGCACTTGCCTTCCCCTTTTTGGTCTACCTTTACCGAGAACCTTCCGAGTTGGAAGACTGTTGGTTAGCGCTTCAGGGATGTGTTGGAGCTAGGTGCCAGGCCGTCGAATGGCTCAGTTCTCTGTCAGTTCTGTGGCCAATTGTGGCACTTTCTGACTGTATAATTATTGTATCTGGTGACAGTGGTGGACAGTTACTCTTAACTTGTATCCATATGTCCCTTTCCTTTTTAAACTTTACGGTCACATTCCTTTTACTTCCATTCTTTTTAAAGGGGAAGTCCGATGAAAAAATTAAAATTTAGAGTCCGTAGAGTTTGGGGCGTTGAGTCAGCTGGTGTTGGTCCCATGTGTCTCCGGCAACGCGTTCTTGAGATATTTCCGTTTGAACACTGAGTTGTGTGTGTGTGGGGGGGGGGGGGGGTGGGCTGTGCTATGACGCCATACAGCTGCGACACACCCTCTGCAATGCCACAGCGTGCAGTAATGTCAAAAGGAGTGCGTGAAAGCTATAGCACCAATGTTATTTCAAATGATTTGGCGACCGAAAGTAGGTGGCACAAGCAACCTCGAAGACGTAATTATATGTGAGAGTGAGGATGTAGCCATGGCTGACCTTCATGACTTCTGTCTGGGGCTGAAAGCTCCGGTATTCTGCTGAAGAAATGGCCGTGCGGGCCGGTCAAGAGTGAGCGCTGTTGCTTTTGCGACTGATGAAGAAGCAGCAGCTATTGCAGACGAGGCTGATATAATTATCCGATCTCTGAAGAGCAGAGTCGGCAAAATGGAGAAGAGTGATGCAAGTGCACTAAATAGTGTTCATTACCGACTTGCTTGGACTCCAGTGGCCTGTCACATAGTGATTATTTTGGTGCAAACTTGGCATATTTCAGATGCTGCTCGATTGGCAAACAGTGCAGCCCTCTGAACCACGGGCACGACTCTTCGGTTAAGGGCTCAACACTACGGGATCTGAAAGGTCCAGGACCTGTTCGCTGTTTTATCACTTGTCGCGGTTGTCGACTCATAATTGTAGCATAAATGAGGCTGGACTTCATCGCTATTCCATGCGGAAGACTAAACTTATTTCAATCTCAAAGCACAACCACCGGCTCAGAGAAGTGCACGTTCCTTGACTACATGACTGTAGATATGACTGATAGGAGTGTAGTGCATGACAAGTCCATGTCTTGACTAGTCCCTTGACTCGTGTCTTGTAGATCTACCGCACGACTAACGGTTACGTAGCACGGCAGTGCGGGAGTAGTCCTGTTCCATGTGTGATGAGTTTGTTGACTACAGCGAGCATGCACGCGGAGGCCAGCAGACATAAACAGTCCAACTCGGAAACGGGTAAAAGACGAAATAACCTCAAGACTTGATGAGCTGAAAATCACAGGGTACGTAGTGTTTGTAACATTGAGTGGAATGGTCTTGGTCCGAAGGAGCTGCGACAAATGGTTCCTCAATCGAACGCGTTCCGAATAATGGCCATTTGTACACAACTAGATGGTGTGGCTACCTGGCTGCATCCTGTGACGTCATCACCTGGATCTGGGTGACTGCGCTCTCACATTCACACACGTTCGATTGGGTATATCTGACGAACCATGGACCACAGCCTCCTCGGACAAAGACCATTCGACTCAGCGCCCCAAACTCTACGGACCATGAAATTTATAATATGAAAGTTACTTCCTCCATTAAAAAAAATCTTCGTGACGGATTTTGGAGGGACTGGTTAACGCAAAAACTGCCGTGAAATGAGTCGCGTTCACTTTCTCGGCCTTCCCCGGCATGGCATGAAAGACATACGATGCAAGGCAAGCGACATTTCGCAACAAACGAAGCGGAATCAATGGTTGCACTGTGGCAACATAGGTGATGACATCCATGGCGAGCGAAACTGAAATACCACTTCTCCGAGGACATAATGCGCTGCTTGGCTTCTCTAGCACTGAGTATTAGAGCAATAGAGAGCGATGGAACGGAGCAGCGAGCCCACACAATGACCAAGTGAACAAGCAGCCGCTCTGATTGCACGGCGCAATGAAATGATTCTGAATTCAAGTTCTTGTTCCGCTGCGCAAAGCCCAGATTCGAATGCTGATGACCATGCATTCTTTAGAAATCTGCAGTCTGACGTGAGTTTCATGGCTAAGGAAAGTCGACGGGACTTGCTAGCCACCGCCGTTCAGTGCTGGCAAGAGAGAAAATGGAATCAGTTTGGCTGTGCCTTTACTCCTCGTATCGCGGAGTTCTGGAGAGTGGAGATGAAGCCAGGGAGTCATAAAATATTTTTTTACAACTCCCTGGTGGAAACAAGTAATCACCACCATGGCCGGGGGGGGGGGGGGGGGGGGGCGGGTGACGCAGCTTGAAACCCAACTTGGATGACGGCGGTATCACCAAAGTTCAACAGAGTGTAATCCAGGAAGGCGAGGCAAGGCTGAAAGAGCTGAAAAACGACTCGAGAGAGATGACGACTCGATTGCAGCAGATGACGACAGCGGCGCAGGGTCAAAAAATGAGTCTAGCAAAAGCGACGCAAAGTGAACTCTCTGCTCATTCCGGCTTCAGTTTCTCTGGTAAAGACGCTGTACATAGGTTGAACTACCTCCATCCAGTGATATACAGTCGATACAAACTGTTCTTGGCCTGTTCTAAGCATTTTCATATCCATCAAAATCCATCACGAAGTTTTTGTTAATGAAGTAAGTAATACTAATAGAAAGGTTTCTAGAAAGGTTTCTAATAACTTTCTATTATTTCACTTTAGTTTCATTGGTTCTTTACCCTTTAGCTCCATATTAGTATCAAATGAAACTTGAATGGTCTAAGTCTTGGTCAAGAGGACGGGGTGAGGGGGGGGGGGGGGCATATTGTTCTTGTGCTCAGTGTTCTGTGGACTCTGTTTCCCTTGTGGCAAACGCTCTCTCTCTGTCTCTCTCTCTCTCTCTCTCTCTCTCTCTCTCTCTCTCTCTCTCTCTCTCTCTCTCTCTCTCTCTCTCTCTCTCTCTCTCGGTCACAGCTCTAAGGTGCCTTTTGTTAGGTACGCATGATGACAAACTGAGCTTTTGCAAGACTGTGACCTACCAGGCCGGGAATCGAGGATCACAGCACTGCCAATAGCCGTTGCGATAGCAGCAATCAGTCTCATCCGGAAAGCCTTTCGGTGGACATATCTTCGCGTATTGGCCACATGGTATACTAGCGGATACTGCAGCACACATTGACACCAAACCAAAGTAAAGAGCACTTGGTCAAGTGCATGGGGTCAAGTTTGTTTTTATCTATATATGTTTGATATAGTGCCGGGGAAATGCAGCGAGAAATGTCTGAAGAGAAATCCTCAGGAGTGAAATCCTCGGGACTCAGGATTTGAGCCAGAGACCGTGCAAAGCTGACCAACTCGGTCATGATGTAGCCATTAAACGGGAAAACACACGTCCTTGCAGCCACAAAAACTGCAGTACTGACCAATGAAATCCGACAAATGGCATCCTTGTCTTGTGCCCTACATCAAACTGTTGCGAATTTGTATTACGACCATGATTTACGCATGTCGTTGTATTTGGTTCTTGTCTTGTGGAGTCCAGTGTCTGATGTCATAGTATGGTCTAAGTGTACGCGCGAGTATGGGGTGATGTGTGACGTTTATGGTATGTGGTGCATGCAAGAGTACGCGTTGTCAGAGTGTGAGGATGTGCTTCCGTCTGTGTGAGAGTGACTGTCAAGTGAATGCTGTACATGCACAGTGCTAGTTTGGTCTGGGAATGAGAGTCATATGTGATTCGTCCGTGGTCTGGTTGTCTTGGTCTTGGTCATGTGTTCTGTACGTATTAGTCCCTGATTGGTCGTTTCGATGTGTTCGCCCTTTTCTCTGTTTATAACTGTTGGTTGTTTATTATTTGCAACAATCAGGACTAGCCAACAGATGATTGTACACTGAAGACTTGCTACCACGAAACCTACGCACAACACTAACATTCTCACCGGTACTCTCACGATCACTACAATCGTCGCTCTCCGACTCATTGCTCCCTTCAACGTCCGACTCTGCTTTCACTGTATTGTACCGTGGTCGTCATGTTTATTATTTCTTTGTCTTTTCTCCCCCGTTCTCTCGCCCACCAGTTAGTTATTTACTCCAAGAGGTATTGTTCAAGTAACTGTGTCGTCCTCTTGCCCGCTTGAATGAGTCAGAGAGTGGTTGTGTGGCGAGGAGCGGGGGGAAATTTCACAACAAAACGGCCGTTGATGGCCTGCAGCCAGCTAAATTACCCTGTGAATTCATGGCATTCATTCGTTAGATTCAATACATTGGAACTCTGATAAGAGAGGTGCACCTTCATGGGGGACAAGAAAGTGTACTTGGCATCCCAGGTACTCATTGATAATAACGTTCTTATCCAAACATACTTCAATATGGAGCCACACACCCTAGCCCTGGACAATGTCCATACTTAGCAAGGGTACGTCTTGAAAGGGTACGGACTGCAGAAGTTCCACTGTAAATGCAAATTGGAAAGAAAGTGACATTAGCCTGAAGGGCCGACGGGGGGGGGGTCCCTGATTCCGGGTCTGACCCTGGTACATTACGAGCGATGAGAGTGACACCATTTGAACAATTCTCCGTTTACGGCAGTGCCACAAACGCTGAGATCATTGGATGTGCTGACAGTGCATTTTGTTAAAACGGACAACCTCACTCTTGGTTCGCACTCAGTGACACCTCCATAGCCTTCCTCCCTCAACCCCTCATAAAATATCAGAGTAGCATTTGAACTTGCACAGTCCTGGTTATTCAGCAAGATATGAATACAATGATATTATCAAGAGTAGACTAACAAGAGGGCGCAACTTCGCATCTCTTCTGCACAATCTGCAGATACCCTGGCCCATGGCGGAGTTTTTTTGTTGACGTCACCTTTTTCAGAAAACATGATGTGTGTTGCACAGAGCACACGCATTTTGCCGCAGAGCAGTGTGAGAGCACGTGCGGGGCACCCACCATGTAATGTAAACCCGACCAAGTGCACGAGGCAAAACTTCCCAAGTGACTCACAGCGCGTGCTTCGTACGGTTTGACTCCTGATTTCCAGAAAAGATGACGTCAACAAAAAGTTCCGCCGTGGGCCACACCATCTCGAGTTGCACACTCGTGTTTATCTACTCTTGATATTATTGATAGAGAGGTGAAAGGAAGCTGTCATGCATCCATCTACTTCTGAGATAGTTCACTGATTGATAACATTACTACTCGCAAGTACTGTTTTGGTACTTGTGTCAGCAAGTCTAGGCTAGGCTGGCAGGGATGTTGCTGCCACACACACTGGCCAAAGTAGTTTTTTGATCCCCTGTTCCCCACCCCTTTCACACACAAGCTGAAGACATACAAACATGTAGATGTACTTGACTTAGACCATCAGACATCACTGCAAAGGAATTCCAAACAGTGCACTCACCGCTAACGATACTACTGGCGCACGCAGCAGCAATGAGCAACACTGCAGCTCGATTTGCACGTATCATTGTAATCCGCTCGCTCTCCTCGGCAGATAGATTCTAAAATCACTTCTCTCGCATGTATGGGGAACTCCCGATCGAGGCCTCCACACTTCAACAACTGGCTCTACACACACTCAGTAAGTATGGGTTCTGACCTGGTCTGGCGATATTCGGAATGGGAGTCTCACTGCACGACTCACTCAGGAAGATATCCTGACCCGGAAAGCAAATTGCCAATCAAGGCAAATTTCAACAGCAGCGGCAGGTATCAGCGAGAAAGTAACTTATGTGACAGTGTTACCGGTATAATTATAGTCTTTGAAAACGACAATGAATGAGTCAGGACTCTTCACCGGAGGCCAGGGGATGTTTCCTGCGCTGCTGAAAGAAAACAATTGCGCGTCGTCGGCCCACGGCACGAGTCTCGCAGGTAATCGGGGTGTTGTAACTTGTTGGAGCTGCTGGTGGAATGTTTCGTTCGGTGCCTTAGCCCCGCTAATTGTAGCATGTCGTTTGTCGCTCATACACGTACATGCAATCGTAATTCAGCGGCAGCCAGAGCTAGAGGTTGACGTTGATGAGCTCACGAGAACCCTCCGACAAAGTCTCGTTTCTTCGGTAGACCGTAGGTAGATCTACCATGTATCTACCAGTGCCGTGGTGCGTGCACTACAAGTACAACTGATTCCGAGTGCAAAGTACACTTATGTATGAAGCAAACGCTTGTGTTCACTACTATTCATGCATATTCTAGAATGCATTTTTAGGTCTTTCATGTGCCAGGCTAACCCGTGACCCAGTCTCGTGACTACCAGTGCCATGTACCAGAACAACATAGCGCGCGCTGTCACTATCATTCTGTTGATATGATGCTGCCCTCACCACTGCCTGGCAAATCGTGCTCATTCAACATGACGAACTGAACCACCCTTTGACCCAGGGCTGCTGGACCCAGTGCTGGTCCAATACCATTACATGTACAGATCAGTGACAGTGTCAGTGATGGTATAAACAGATGTTGCTACAGGATCTGTAAATATATGCAGAAGGAGAGCACGAAGAAATTCCCATTGACCAGCAGCAGGTATTGACAGGTGGCCACCCAGTCTAGATGATCGTCCCCATTTCCCAAGAAGAATGCACGTGATGGTGTTCAGGACTTAGTGGTCTGGAAGCCCTGACGTGGTCGGAATCATGTAACCGTGAGGAACTGTGAAGAAGGGGTCTCAGTGTCTGCTCCAGGATTGTAGGACAGCCGCACGTGTACCTGGCGCAACCATTTCAACCGGGTGGGAGCCCGATACACATGCACGCCCAATGATCTAAAGGCGAATGGATAAGCCGCATTTAGAAAAGAGAGGACAGGAATTAGAAAATTACGAAAGAAGAAGAAGTATCTGACACATACAAGCCATGTAGTTAGTCCTTTCAAAGTTCGAAAGTGTAAAGTACCAACCGGGTCACAGGTGACCCGGTACTATATTTTCAACCGGGTCCAAGCGCCGCCCAACCGGGTGGATTACCCGGCTCACCCGGCGCTGGAGCAGACACTGGGTCTTGCTAGTAAGGCTGCACATACTTCAAGTACCAACTAATGTATTGGAAAGGCATGATCCTAGCACTACTAGTCATCAGAAGACTTCATACATGTTTTTATGTCTTCAACTTGTGTGTAGAAGGGGTGGGGGGATAAAAAAAAACTTCTTGGGCCAGTACGGGTGGCAGCAACATCCATGCTGGCACATTGGATTTATTTTGCCCGTCCAAGAGGCCTGAGTGCACAGTACAATGTAGCAGTACAAAGTAGTGCATGTGCCTGCATGCAGTGCACCTGCCACTGTGCATGCAGACATCATAATCGTTGACTTGCCTGGCATGACAGGACTGCTCAGCTTTGTGGCATATACTAGGTAGAATGAATGAAAGCAAATGTGGCACGTAGCAATAGTTAACTCTCATGCGGTAAGACAGCAGTTGCAGTATGTGGATGCGTAATTTCAAGTTCAAAAATCTAGTTCAAATTGAATTACATTTTATCAGGCAGCTGCAAAAGCAGAACCTCTCAAAACCAGCACAGTATCAACGCTATGTGATGGTGGGCGAGGGACACATAAAATGTACTATACATCCACATCGGCGTCATTCCTTCCGTCGGCAGTTCGCTTTCCATCGGGCGCGGAGAGGGCCTCGCTCAGCTGCCTAACATCGTCGGTGAGTGCGCGTGTGTAAAGACTCACGTCACTGGCATGTATGATGAGATTCGCTCCTTCCTGTACCCACTTCTTCTGGTATTCAACGGCTCGCTCAAACGAATAGTGACATCCAACGGATAGCCCTGAAGTAACAATCGCAAGCAAACATAACATATCATGCACTGCCCCATGAATACAGCTATCAAACACATCATGTACTGGACGCCTAAATATAGCTGGTATCATAATTATAGTAGTATCGTATTATGCATATACCGGTAACCCATCAACACAGCTATAATCCTGACATGCACTGTACTGTAACACAACATGCCTATCCTCATCTGTTAGGTCATACAACGTGATGCTTCATACATAACAGCCCCGCATCATCCGAAACAGGACACTTGCAAATGATCATAATGTCTAGCTTTATTCTTGGTTGCTCACCTCTTCCGCGTGTTTCCTTGATGATCAATGAGACCACATCATGAAATCCTTGATCGTGCCACTGCCTGGGTACCCCCAAGGATACGCTGAGGTCGGCTGGACCGATGAAGACCCCGTCGAGGCCAGGCACACTGAGAAGATGTTCCAGGTTGTGCAGGGCCGGCGTGGACTCAATGTTGATGAAGAGCTGAAGGCTTGCATTTTTCTTCTGCAGGTAGCTGCACCGATCACTTCCCAGCTCCCCTTCCAGCAGGCTGTACAATGAGGCAGGGTCATTCACAACTCCGGTCTTGGCGCGTGGTCCGCTCAGGACATGCAGACAACGGGCCAACAGGTCTCCTTTCAGCGGACGTAGTTTCACAGCGCCAACCAGTGAGAGGACCTGTGTACAGGCAGAATACAGTCAAGTCAAAACAGTTTCTAAATCCATGTACCAAACCTGTAGTAGATAGCAAGGATGAGATCATAATGGACACACTTTTACCATGCACCAAATCTTTTGACGTGGCTAAGATTGATCGACTGCAATCTGAACCATCAGTAAAACTTCCCTGGGCTTTTCATGACAGCCTATCCCGCAGCTGTCTCCACGGATGTGTTATCTCTAGTAGCAGACGAGTCTCATAGGTGGCAGGGCACTATCCTGGATCGATATGAATGCTGGGTTTGAATCCTGCCAGTGGTTCCTGCGTTTGCAACATTGAGCATTCTCAAGATCATCGAGAAACACTGCTCAAGACATACCACCAATTAGGGAAAACACCATGTACATCGCCACGGCAAGACAGCGCATCTTGGCCTGGCAGCCTGTAGTATTGATTATATCTAAAATACACTGCCACTTGGCATGCACCACTGCGGTCACCATGTTTCTACATAACAACAAGTGCGTTTGAGTATTGACCTAGACTGGACTCTTCCCAACGTCCATAGCCAACGCTCAGTAGTATGACATTTAAAAAGAGTAAAACACTGCCTGTGTATTGTGTGAGTGAGCTCTGACTACTGGTATGAGTAGCTTTCTACCGGGGCCAAACACCACTTGTTTGCAGCAGGCACACCGGTCATCACCGCATGTTAGGCACTCACTTACTTGTTCAACGCTCTCCACGTACGGTGCCACAATGCCGAGTGCCCCACCGTCGATGTACTCGCACACGCGGAACGGCTCGGGCTCTGGGACACGTACGATGGGCGCGATCTCGGCAGCAGCATAGGCACGGCACATCCATGACAGCTTGTCCCTTGGCAGTGCTACGTGCTCTGTGTCGATGAACACAAAGTCAAGTCCTGCTGACTTTGTTGCGGCAAAGAATTCCGGGCTTGTGGACAAGCAGCATGTACCTGTGACGTGTTAGAATAAAAATGCAGCACACGAGTTAGTGCAATCGGCACTTCAGTGTGTGCGTGTGTGTGTGTGTGTGTGTGTGTGTGCATGTGTGTGTGTGCACGTGCTTACAACTCGTCTGAAGGTGGCCCTCTTGCCAAAGCGTTTGGAAGTTGGACTAGTCTCGACTCCATAAGCTAGTGTGTCGCTACGATACAACTTTCATGGCTTAGTGTTTGGTGTATTTATTGGCTTTGATTTCCCAATAGTCAGTAGCTGAGGCTGGTTGGTAAAGTACCTCGAACTAACTAAGTTATCAAGCACAGCAAGGTGCCAGTACATCTACAGAGTACAATTACTCCAGCAAGTGTATGGTGTAGGTTGTGAATAGGTAGCTAGCTGTCTTGCTTGTCACTGAGTGTATCGCATCGTTGATAATAGACACCCTTAGCAAAAAACGTTATGTTGTAACGGTATTATCGTAACGGGGAAAATACCGTGATTTGGGTTCGACCTTTAGCAAGATGCACGCTATTTTTAGTACGCTGTTGCCACGAGAATAGCTTTGATTTCGCGCGGTACAACCATTTTTGTCACCATATACGAGATACAAGGTGAAATGCGTACGGACTATGCAATATTTGGCTAAAACACGTACCGTTGGTCACAACGATAAATCAGCCCCCATAACGTTTATACGCTGCAGCTTCAACGCTATTTGGGAGATCAAGGTACGAGTACCGTAAAAAATAGCGTTACCGTTGTTTGCTAAGGGTGTCTAATGAACCTGGCAACATGGCTGAAGTACTGTCGTGGACATGGAACTCCAGTCGGAGGTCAAGCGACCCCAGGGCGTTGGCCATGCAGACGTGAGTGCGCAAACGATCAACACGTGCACTGTGCACGCAACGTTCTGTACGCACTGAGGGCGCCGGCCCCGGTCATTCGACCGGATTTCCATGTCCACGACAGTACAATCAACATTCCTGTTAGAAGTTCAATGTGATGACGAATCGTAACAAATATCAATTTTTGCTGACCTCTGGGCACTACAGTCTGACGGTCCATGCACCTATAAGTATACCCTTGAAAGCAGCTCTAATAGCAATTTCAAAAGTACCATTAATCATGAGGCCGAATTTCACGGGCCAGTACTGCAGAATTCAGTGCATTTTGAATTTTTGATAGCATTGCCTGCCTGCTCTTCTCAACTGCAGTTTATGTTCACATCTATTCTTACCTATCACAGGCCTCTCGTTGCTCTTCTTTCTCAAGTCACACATGTTCGCTTGCAGTTGCCGCCCAATCGGACTTCTCACTCGTAACTACAGACACGGACGTACCGCTCCGTGACGGGTGCAAAGATTACTAGCGGAGCATGCAACCCGCAACAAGTCCGGCAGCAGTGCAACAACAAATCCCCATCTAAGGAAATGAATGAAAAGATGTTGAAGCGTATACTATACGCTTTACAACTACCTGCATCAATTATTTTACTCTGCATTGACCATGATGACAAGCCAAAACGTAAAATCGGCGGCACCATGGCCCCAAGCCAAGGCCACATCGAATTTTCACTGAAAAATCAAGACATGTTCCGAGACGAGAGTAGATCTACAATCAAACATTTAGATCTACATGATTGCGCACAACAATTACCTGGGGACCGCAAAACAAGCATTCATGATTCAGATTGCCGAAGCTTCGAATGCATAGATATTATTAGATATCACACGTGCCAGGATCATCACCGTGACTTCTGTTGCAGAACCAAAACTGTTTTCTTTGGAGTTCCGTTGTCCAGATGCGTTCACGAGCTTGCTTGTGTCCGGAACTCCACAGCTGAGCGCTCGATGGATGCTCCTGAAAACCTCCTGGCGCAGCAAATCCATCCAACGCCCACCAGAAGGCAAAAGCCATCTTCTCGTTCTAGAAAAAGCTCATAATTCGAGTAGCTAGGCGTTGAAGTATTCACTGACTGTTCGATGTATTTCAAGCGACCTGTATCTGGCATGTAGATAAGAGCTGGAGAATGGCTTTCTCCGTCTTTCAGAGCGTGGATCGTGGCACGGAAGAAAGCATACCCGGTCGTCTCCTGAGAGCGTGCATCAGCGGCGACATTGAGGTGATACGCTCGCTACGCAGCGACCACTCCGTGCGTGGCCTGGTCGACTTCAAGACGGGCAGGACTGCACTGCACTTCGTGGTATTCTGTGGGAAAAGGTCGCGACAGTGCTGCGAGATCTTGCTGGAAGCCGGCTGTCCCGTCGATGTGGTGGATTTCTACGGAATTACACCATTCATTTTGGCCAACATGTACGCGAATCAGGGAATGCTTGAGGCGTACAGGACAGTCGGTGCAGGCGATCTGGACGCAGGCCCATACAACAGGGAGCAGATACACTGGAGTAACCTGATGCGTGCATGCCACGGCAGCAAGGTGCCGCAGATACGCCACTGCCTGGACCGCGGCGACGACGTGGACGCACGCAACGCGTTCGGTCAGACTGCACTGCACATCGCGGTGCTGCGTGACAATACGCTCGCAGTGCAGATGCTGATCGAGGGTGGCTGCGAGGTGGACGCGCAGGACGTGTTCCGATGGACGCCGCTAATGCTGGCGTGCCGTCGCGGCATGCTGACCATGGTCAACACGTTGCTGGAACAGTCGGCCGACATGCAGAAAGTGGACATCGAGGGACACACGGTCTTACATAGTGCCATACTGCAGGGAAACACGGAGCTCCTGTCCTGTCTTCTCCAGTTTAAAGTGGAAGCATTCAGGCACGCCATCGTCGGCTCCTTCTCGCCATTGGAATTGGCCGTGGCATGCCAGCACGAGCATGTCGTAAGCTGGTTCAGCGAGGAGAGCGCTCCCGTTTCCAGTTTCCTGACGCATGCGTTCACACTCGCTGTCCGCCTCAACAACTTTACGCTGATGCGCAAGCTGGTCGTAATGGGAGTGAGCGTGGAGTGCTCTCACGTTACCATGGCCGTGGAGAGAGAAGATATTGATCTATGCCGCTATCTCCTTGCCTGCGGAGTAAATCTAAAAAAGGACGGAATCAATGCAGACTCGCCTCTTGTCGTGGCGTGCCAGAAAGGCAACGTCACGTGCATTCGAATGCTTCTGGAAGCCGGTTGCCAACCCAACTCGGAGTTTGGCGGAGTGGAGCTCCTATCTCATCCGCTGTCCATCGCAATGTGCCAGAGCGGCTCAGCGGTGGTGTTTGAATTGCTGCGCGCCGGCGCCGATCCTGACATGGATCGCTACTGCGTCACTGCCACCGGTACGGTACACAAGCCGACGATCCCAGCCATGCAGAGACAGGCACCGGCGGCGGAGGACGAGCTGCCCGAGGACTTCGCAACGTCCGTGCGTCTCTGCCTGCGGGCGGGTGCCGACTACGACGAGCTGTCGCGCGTGTGGACCGAGCCGGGACGGGCGGATCCATTTCAAACGCTGCGTAACACCGCGTGCTGCCCGTCGCTTCAGCACGCCTGCAGCGCTGCGGTGTGGGAGCACTTGATTGCGCACAAGGCCCACGGCAACTCCTTCATTCACCTGCAGAAAGCAGTCGAGCTTCTCCCGGTACCGGTGTTCATGCGTGAGATGCTCCTGTTTCCTTATGCGTTGCAGGGAAAATCCGTTCTCTCTCAGCTCTGGGAGAACAGACATATGGAATCACTGGACTAAACGCTTATGCCCTTCGAAGTAACAGCATGGTAACGTTATGACTGAGATGATGACAGTGAATTTTTCGTCTCAGTGATGTTGCACCCACTTTTACACGATTCAACTTGAAGTGCAGCACAATGGGACATCTGAGTTTGTACTTCAAAGTATTTGACAATATTATCCTATAGAGATGCCCATCATATTCAGAGTATCATGCCGGTTTATGAGAGAAGCCAGGATAACATTATGTGCAGTATATAAGTTGCGACATTTCCCCATTCTTCATTTTGGTACTCACTGACAAGCACTGATTGTATCCACAAAGACCTCTTTTCTATCGCAGACCTGAACATTCTATCTTGAAAAGTTTAAATTTTTTTCAAAAGTGATGTAATGCCTCGACTGAGCAATATTGCGCCCCTGCATTCCCTGGCCTAGTGCTTAGATTAGTTCGAAGACCTTGTTGTACATTTCATGGATCACCCACCCTCTCCCTATGCTATGATCCGTATCTGACAGCACTTCTGTAACGTGTAACACCGGTCTGAAGTAGTAGCACCAGAACGTTTGCCAGTAGCTCCTTCTGTGCATGCAGCTGTGATGCAGGTCGAATAGAAAAAAGTGGTTGCACATGTTCACAATGCCCATCTCGATACCTTTCTTGGTTCTGAACAATTTTAAAAATTTGCCTCGTTCAAGACCGTACCGGTACCAGTTATTGCGCGGCAGATAATAATATTTATTATCATGTTCCTAGTTAAGTAGATGCTTTCGTGCCAGCAGGGCATACGTTGCAGTAAAATAATTATTTTTCTAGATCCCCACTAGTCAGCACTCATAGAAACTCTCTGCCAACTGCCTTCCTCCCATGGTTTTAAAACTGGCTCCTAGTCTTACGAAACCGTTTTGTGAACAGACAAGCACAGGTTTTCTCTAAAAGGAATCCTTGAACTCACTGGTACATGTCCGCGGAGTGGATCTACTAGTGGCCTGGTTCATTCACAAAGCCAATACTGGCAATAGCATGAAACCATAAAGACAAGAACCAAAGTGAAAAGGCAAAACCAAATTCGGCAATAATTATTAATTAGAACACCCTCAAGTGTAACTTACTGTACAATTGAACACAAAACTCAAAAGCATGGCGGTTCAGTTATTTAACTACTGAAGTACCAACGACACGTACACAAAATCCGGCCAATGTAGCTTTTTGGCGAATAGTAGTATTAGCAGTACAGTGGTATCAGTTTTCTTCCTGCCCTTCTGGGCCCGGGAATGTTCTGGGCCCGGGAATGGCAGCTTCTGGGCCCGGGAATGGCAGCTTCTGGGCCCGGGAATGGCAGCTGACAGCTCACTGCCCTTCTGGGCCCGGGAATGGCAGCTGACAGCTCGCAGAGACAGCTTCTGTCCCTCCCGACCCGATTCAGGGGCTTGGCAATCCCTATGGAGTGTGGTAGCAAAGACTGCAGAGGCAGAGCATCAGGCATCACTTGCAGACTGTCCAACCCCCCCCCCCCCCCCCCCCTGGCCGCCCCAAATCTTCAGACCCTCTATAGTATAGCCGGTCTAAAATTTCTTTACTTACCTGGTACTATAATAGTTTAAAATACTGAAAAGATCTGAACTGAAAAATGATGCACCCGACGTGATACAGGTGGGCATAAAGCTGCCACGGCAGCCAACAAAATGTGCTTTCGGGTCCAACTGGGTGACAAGCCGCATGAACATGAGCTCGCGAGCTCGGTGTCCGATGAGCGCACACGTACACATCATCCATCCTTTCCGTGTGATCAATCGTAATCCGTTGTCGGAGTCAAGACGTGGAAAGTGGGACAAATGTGTCGATTTTTCATGAAGTCTGGACAAAAAGCGTCCGGATGAGGACCTCGGCAGGACACAGGACAATTTCTCTCAAATCTGGACTGTCCAGACGAGGTCTGGACGGTTGGACAGCCTGCACTTGCTATCAGGGCCCCAATAGTGAACTTGATCGACGCCCACCGTAACGAGAGCGTCCGAGACGCACCAGCCATCAGTCCGGACCAGAACTCGCAAAGCGTCTTGAGTATGGTGGAGGGCATGGCCAATCCTGTTCTAGAAGCCGTTGGCGAGGCACAAGGCATCGCCCGACAAAAGCGCCAGGACAAAAATCGGTGGGTGCCGAGCAGCAGACAGAGCTTGCCGCGGAGCTTTCACCGGTCCAGCGGCAGCTGTTCGCAGGAGGAGACGAGAAGGGCGTGTCAATGTGGTCAACTAACAGCCCAGCCGTCCTGGAAAAACCGCACCGTGCTGAAGAAGTCGGATTTCAGAGACGCGCTATGCAAACGCTATGGTCTGCAACAGGATACTAGTAGTCACTATTATATAACCCAATACCACAGTCTGTCCACAAAAAGAATTCAGTGTATCTCATGAGAACAGAAAGTCATTCACTTAGTCTTTGTTTGCACTGGGCCAAGTCATCTTTTTTGATACTTGTTTTTAACGAAGAGCACTCTATTGTGCATCCACCTCAATTTTGGCTGTGTGGTTCACATTTCCCACTTGTGAAATATATGAAAAAGTCAAACTGCATTCGTTTTGTGGACAGACTGTAGTTCAATACTAGTATTACTATTAGATAAACCTTGTTATAGTTCACACATGTTGTTAGTTTGACAGCATGAAACAAGGTGGAGGACACTATGTTCGGAAACAGTGACCTTACTACAACCATCCACGGTTGGCAGAGCCCCGGTCCGTTGGGAACATCTGAACCATAATTATGGCCTTGCTGCAGAGCCTAGCTGCCCGCCGCCAAGTGTACGCTCTCACGTACATGTACACGCTAATGTGCCTTCAAGACCATCCAGATCTCTCTGCGCTCGTGCCGCCTCGCCAGGAAGCTAGCCTCGTCCCACGGACAAGGTCGCAGCTCCGTGTCCGCCACCAGCATCAGCTACAAGCAGTGCTCCTCCCTACGGCCCCCAACTTTCTCCAGCGTTCGTTCCCATATGGTGTAGTGGATGAATGGAACAGGCTTCCGCAAGACATGTTTCCGGATCCGATGCCCCAGTTGAAGTCTCTCCAATCCTTCAAGACGAAGGTCCATCGCCACTTGCGTCAAAAGAATTGGCTCTGGGCTAAGGACTCCCTGTGAGGCTATGCCACCCGTCAATGAGCAACTACCCTCGTCCATCATCTCTTTCTTGTTTTATATTTATTTCTCTTCTCATCTCTTTCTGGTTTTATTTTATTTCTCTTCTCATCTCTTTCTTGTTTTATTTCTCTTCTCATCTCTTTCTTGTTTTATTTTATTTATTTATTTCTCTCTCTCTCTCCCTCTCTCTCTTTCTCTCTCTCTCTCTCTCTCTCTCTCTCTCTCTCTCTCTCTCTCTCTCTCTCTCTCTCTCTCTCTCTCTCTCTCTCTCTCTCTCTCTCTCTCTCTCTCTCTCTCTCTCTCTCTCTCTCTTTCTCACTTGATCTCCCTCCCTCCCTAGCTGCATTCCTAACGATGCCTGGTCGTAGGCTATGATTCCGAGACCTCCGGTCGGATGAGCCTCGCCAACCACATCGGCACATCGCCCCTACTCCCCTTTGTCTTGTTGTCCAGTGTCATTTCAGTTGTCCTCTTCCCCTGATTATTAGTAGGGCTGTGTTTTTTAGTAAAAAAAAATATATAAAAAAATGGGTGTTGAACCCGGTTCTGACCCTCATTATGCTAGGGGAGTTTTTAGACTTCTCCTCACGTCAGTCGTGTATTTTTTGATCGCTCCTGGATGTCCTGGATGTCCTGGATGTCTTAGTCTTGATAGTCTTGTAGCTACTTTTAAAAACCTGAATTGTTAGCATAATGAGGGTCAGAACCGGGTTCAACACCCATTATGGTTCAGATGTTCCCAACGAACCGGGGCTCTGCCAACCGTCAGGGCTCACCACGACCATACAAACAGAAAATATTAATTCAAAAAGCGTCGACCACCATTTTGAAAACATGGCGATGCCGCCAAGGCCAGAGTTTGTGCAGTCATAGGGGCTACGCACCCGAGTTCATGCTCATCGATGTACAGCGCTAGCGATGTACAGTCTAGTCGTAAAATACCGGTATTTTACGACTCCGTGGTCTACTCTGTACAGCGAAGGGCCAGTGCCGAAGCGAATATTGTTGTTTGATGTCGGGAAAGACACGCGGAGAAGACGTCCTTTCTCCAAGCCATCTTGGTCATTTTTCTCAATCCGCTGATGGGTGTCGACCAAGATATGTCCGTGAGGTACTGGTGAACTTGAGTCCTGGCATCTACAAGAATTTGCCGCGCCTAGCTAACCGATGTTGTCAGTAGAATTCAGCTCTTTTCTGTTTGGCCTCGCAGCTTTCACGCTGCGAGTGGGGAGTTTCCTGGCCACAAATGAATCCCTTAGTCATGACCATGATGAGAGGTGACTGGTATGATCCCTGACTGGCATGAGTCCTTAGCTTGAGTCAACACGAAGGTAAAACTCTTCACTTGGAACGCTTGCTGTTGCTGTCTCCTCCGTCCTTTCTTGTTGCACTTGCAGATATGCGCACGGCTGCCAGTTTTTTTTGGTGCGCGCGGCGACGCACGGCTGACCTTGATGTCTTCAAAAAGGTAGAACAGCGGTTCTCCTTGGCCGATTCTCACCATCGATAGCTCATTTTCAAGGTCTTGGAATTCTCTATCTGTTTACCGTCCCCGATTTTTAATTTTCTCTTCATTCACTTGTTCGCACGCCTTCGCGTTTGAGTGATTTCACCATCCGATCTCAGCCAAACGAAGGCCAAATCGAAAAATTCGAGACGGTAACCCTCCAAAGACACACCTTCTGAACACGAATCCACCGAATACAGCCAAGCTCCACTCAGAAAACACCCCACAATTGCAAGAAACAGCCCGGTTTGCCGTGCGCTGATTGGTCAAATCCAAATGACCGTTATTGATGCTTTGTAATGGTCGTGGTGAGCCCTGACCGTGGATGGTTCACTGTTTCCGAACACAGACTCAGTGTCCTCCACCTAAGTCCTAGCTCTTGCTTCATGCTGTCAAACTACATGACCACATGATGACATTGTAACTACAATGTACTAGTAGTAGTCATGGTAGTAGTAGTCACAAACTAGTACACTACGAGTACCGATATATCTACTCACCGCAAACAATCCCAATGCGGAGGCTGCACTGACGTGACCATGGTGACTCTGTATACAGTACAACAGTGCTGCTCAATGAAATCCAGTCGCGTCACTCAAGTTTGCGCCTTGCACGATTTTCGCAGACCAGTGTTCGCAGGTCTAGGGCTGCGCAACGCCCGGCGCGGCGCGTACTTGAGTCACTCGACTGGATTTCATTGAGCAGTACTGCAGTCTGTAGTAAGACTAGTACTAGTAGTAGACCCAGGTGCTCGAAGTCCGTACACTTAGTCTTTTACAATGTGTGTTTGCCGAGCTTTTTTTTTTTTTTTTTTTTTTTTTTTACAAAGACCACTTAATGCCAAACATGAGATGCAGCTAGGGGAAGCACGCACAACCTGAATCGTGGCAGTGGTGGTGGGGTTTAGGGAGCTCCGCCGACCTAGGGTCTCGACTTCATAGCCACCTAGACGCACCAAGAGTGGGTGGGGAGGGAGGGCGAGAGAGAGAGAGAGAGAGAGAGAGAGAGAGAGAGAGAGAGAGAGAGAGAGAGAGAGAGAGAGAGAGAGAGAGAGAGAGAGAGAGAGAGAGAGAGAGAGAGAGAGAGAGAGAGAGAGAGAGAGAGAGCTGAAACTCACACTAGCAATGATCACTTGCCAGAATCCTGCTCGTGGATGGAAGGTATCTTGTCCAAGTTTGTTCTCAGGCCAGGCTCGATTGAACCAGGCCATCTTTCGATCCGATCTGTTTCTCGGGAGTTCGCTCATTTTTCATATCAAATTTTGGTGTCGCAGAGGGTACTCTAAGTCCGTACTGATCAGAGGTGACTCGAAATACACACATATTTCTGCTAATTGCTAACTTGCAATCCCTCGGTTACGACGAAAGCACCGAAGGGATATGTTTGGCATGTGCCTCCACCAGTATTTCTTGCAAAAGCGTAATTTGTTGCCGCAATGCAAGCTGTTTTTAGTCGGCTCAGAGAAGAAGCAGCTGCGCTGTGAAAACCGCGGGAAAACAGTGGTGGAGATGCCAGGAGTGTCAACCTTTCTGCAAGGATTGTTGGTTCTCTGTAAATTCTTCTCCTCTGGCCATTGTCAGCTCTAAGCTGGCTCTTGATGATTGAGTGAAGGTCTGTTTGACGCTGTGTCCGTTCGAAATCGGTCTTGGCAAAGTTGATTTTTGCATGAAATGTAACCCAATTTGTATTCGTATGGACACTCGAAAACCCACTCCCGGGCCCGATCCCGTGGTATGGGACTTCTGCTTATCGTAGATCCCTGAAAATTGGTACACGAGGAGAACATACCACACTGTCCCCTCCATGAAATATTTGAGTCGAATACAATAACAGAACATGAAATTATGGCCGTACGAACTTAATATACCATGTACGGACTTCGAGCACCTGGGTCTACTAGTAGTAGTACTTTACTGTCTTTAGTAGTAGATCTAGGCTCTACTCTAGTAATACTAATAGGTTGAATGCTGGTTTACCAGTGCTAGTGTTGATACTCTAGACTAGTGTACTAGTGACAGTAGTGTAGACTACACTCTACAGCACAGGTGCAAAGCACAATCATTGTTGTACATCATGACTGTTACGTGTGTGTACTGACTGTACTCGTAGAGTCGTACTTGATGAAGGACCATTTTTACGTGACAGCCACTAAACTAGCTACTGTAGCTGCCACAACGACTTGTCACGTATCACTATCAAGCCGAGCACAGAGCTGCAATGATTATGTAGACTAGAGAGCAGGCTTACGCTACGGCCCTACGGGTGAACCACGCAAGCCAAGGAATAAAACCAAAAATCTGAGCGATCATTCATCCATTTGTGTTTTAGCTGCGTTGAGGTAGACTTCGATCGAGTAGATGAGATTCTACTCGACAGGCGAAGAAACAACGTGGTATATAATGCTGGGTTGCCGCTTTGAGAATCAGTAGCTGGTAGATCGAACGTGGCTATGTCCACTGGAACTAAAGTAAGTTACATGAGAGAATTCAATTCATAGATTGATTTCTATTACTAGTATTCCTCCCTATACAATTTCGTTTTGATGATCATGGATGCAAACCAACAAGCTCAACCCCGCTCTGCAGAGATGGCAAAGGAGGACACTTCGCCCAGCGACGCAGAGACAAGCCAGCAGAGACCAGCTCATGCAGAAAGTCCAGCGAGCGCTAGCAATCGGGCGATTTCCGAGAGTGACGAAGGTTCGCAGCCCGTCGACGAGAGTCCCGCGGGAGATGGTGATGGAGGCGTGATGTCCTCCGTGGACGATGAGCTTGAGCTCAGTGAAAATGACGTAGATGCATTTATGAGATTATACAAGAAAGGCAAAGAGTGAGTTCTGAATTCTACACTAGGTCACGGGGTCTGTATGAAGCTGCAGCTCTTAGCAATACTTTACACAGTTGTTCAGGCCAGGGGCGAATGTTTCACACCCCTCTGAGGTCGTCGACCCAAACCCAAGCACACAATATCTTCAAACATGCAAGTGTTAAATTTTTCCTGTGGGTTTCGGGAGCCAAGGAATGGCCTCGTCAGAGAGCAGGTGACGGCTGTGGTTGCCATGACAGCGATGTTTGTTTAAAAACTTGAATCCGGTCGAGTTCAGTATGTGGGGCTGGGAAACCTTCCATACAGACATATTTGTTTGTAAGAGTGACGGCACGACCTTGCCGCAAATCCATCATTGAAGTTGATTGGTAAGAGGAATTTGTGCTAACCCTCCTCCCTGTGATCTTGTGTTCATTGTTTTGCTTCCTGTGCATGTTGCTCTGTTCATAACGTTTGTTGGCCCGTGTGACCAATGGACTTGGATTGTGCTGGTTTCATGGATCATTCTTCGTCTGCAAATTATGGCAGGCTCGAGGTGAGTAAAGCAACTTTTTTTTAGTTGTGTTTGACCGTGTGCTGCTCTGCTGTGTGCACCTGCGTGAGCGCATGCGAGCACACACGTTTGTTCTCTTGCGTGTGTGTATGTGTGTGTGTATGTGTGTGTGTATGTGTGTGTGTGTGTGTGTGTGTGTGTGTGTGTGTGTGTGTGTGTGTGCGTGCGCGTGCTTCTATTTAATAGTCTGGCATACTATTCAATAGTTGGCATATCATTCATTAGAAGCACGCACTCCACCTCTTGTAGAGATCTACTTGCACCCGCAGCTCTTTCCAAGGACTTGGTGCGGCTGTGTGCGGTAGAAGTTCGAATCTATTTACACCAGTCGTTTATATGATTTGCTCGTGTGTGTGTGTGTGTGTGTGTGTGTGTGTGTAACTCATACAGCAATGTGAACAACTGGACATGGCACTGGAGTGCTACATGACTGCTGTTGATAAGATGTCCGAGAACAACACGTCCGTGTCATTCCAAGAAATCCCGGAGTGTTTGCACCGGGTAAGCATAGTCATGGAGAGCAGCATGCCTTGCACGACATTACTCATACCTGCCAATCAACCAGATTTGGCTGGGACCGTCCCGATGTCGAGGGTGGTATTAGGCACCCAAACGTGCATTAATCGCATGCCTCACCGCTACATTTGTACACATTGTCATACCTAGGACTGTAGTAACTGCTGGAAAAATATCGTAAATATTTCTATCTTTATTAATCATAATATACACCACTCTTGGTCTAGAAAGGATACTTTTTTGTAGTGAGCCTGTCATTGCCCCGATTTCAGGTCCCTTGCAAAGGTTGGCAAGTACAGTCAACTTCGCTAATAACGACTGCGGATATAACGACAATTCGCGAATAACGACAGAATGTCCATGCCCAGAGCAAAGTCCCATCCAACTGTAATACATACAATGGGACTTCGGGTATAACGACACTTCGCGAATAAGGACACTTTTCTGATTCCCCGCCGAGTGTCGTTATAAGCGAAGTTGACTGTATGCATCAGCATGTTTGATGAGGTGAAGTGTGCACTATCTCAAGTCAAGCAGGGAATGTTGCTTACTCAGGAGCACATGATCAGGCATCATCGATTTGCTAGCGCCTCACGGAGCTAGGTGCTGCAGGCGCTCGCCATTGATCACTTGATCCCGTGACTGAGGCCAGCAAGTGTGTAGATGCAACAGAGGCTGCTGAACCGTGGTCCCCGGCAGATGTACCATGCCATTATGTGACGTTATACCCTTTGGCGAAGCTCCACAGTGATGTACATGTAGTTGTTAAGAGTTTCCAACGACATCTGTAGCTGGACATATTGGACTGTAGGTAATACGTGGGTTGTTGTGAATTAGTCTATAAGACATGGTGCATCTCCTCATTTTCTTCTGTTTCTACTTCCTCTCCTTCACGATGTGCTGGTTAGATTTCGAACATTTACTTTCTGGCTGAGGAGTGTAAGTATGTTTAGGTTCACTTGAAGAGCATTGATGATGTAGAGGTGGTTACCGGTGATATCCATTCATGATCGATTAATGTTTCCCTTTTCAATCCCTCGACCTTATGAAGATCATTATGGAATTTATTGTTAAGAGGAGGCAGTCAAAATTCTGCCCAAAATTGGTTTGTTTGCCGGTCTCTTTTGACCTACTCCTTTGGATTACTGGAACCAAAACTGGCTGCTGTACTACTAGTAGCATAGACCTAAGAGTTTGAGATTAAGGGCACAAGTAAAGTGAGGAGGCTGAACAAATTCTCTTCCTAGTTCTAGTGGGCTGCTTGCTCAACCTGTGGGTCTAAAACAATGTGGATTGCTCTCTTGCCTGCAGATGACAAGGCCCTGAAGTTTGCGGAGACAGAGAAGCTGTACTACGAAACAGCCCTGCTGGGCACGATAGCGCCCGTGCAGAACACAACAGGTAAGCATGATGTTCTGCGCATGTGTGTCGCAATTCAGAGGGCATAGCTTGAATATCTGTGGTGTGCTGACCATGTACCAGAGCATGTGCGTGGTGTGGTGACCATGTACCACCGGCAACCTCACATTCATAGTTGCCGGGTTGCCGACTTTGACCGTGTAGTACCTACGACGGCTTCTTTCTGGTGTGATGACCAGACTACGCTGACTATGCACGAGCTACGCGCCTGACGATTCGTCAGACTCGAGCGTATGTTATTCCCAGAACATGCACGATGGGCATAAACGTATGCTAGCTGATTGTTGTTTTTTTGAACTTTTTTATACGAAGAAAACAATACGAGTCAACGCACTCGTTGCCTGTATGATGGAGTAACGCTTCTCTGACAACTAAGTGCTCTATTTTCTAGATCCTTTAGGCACTAGAGGTATCAATGCCAAGTAGCTGATCATCCATCGGATGTTCATGGTGAATTGGATTCACTGCTTCGTTCTCGAGTTTGCACTAACATGTCATTCGCATATGAACAATGCCCTCTTTCATCGGATTGAAGACAAGGAAAATGGCAACCCTCCAATAACAACAAACTCAGGTTCATTGGTGAGAATCTTCCCTCTCCTGATTTTATCCATGTTTTAAGCCGTGGTTGGATTTCACCCCTCCCTTTGATTGGCAACTACTTCCTCCGCTTCATTAAAATTGTCGCTTCGCACATCGCAATATTTGTGACTTGGCTCGTCTTCGTCAGACAGTCGGAACCGCTGTTTTCTGTGTTCGAACACTGGTGCGACCCTTCCTGCGCAATGTCTACTTGTTACTGAAGCCGTGGTGGTCTCGGACTTTGTCGGAGCTCTCTTCCGCACCAAGCAAATTCATCGCGCTCCGCACTTTTCCGCCCCAGAGCGCATTTCGTTTTCTGGAGTTCGTGCCGTCCCACATCGTTCGAGTGGGCATTTATGAAGACTGCAAGCCCGGGTATAAGAATCCTGGTATCTCTCCTGAATATGAAATGCTGAAGTTGACGATGGCAAGAACAAAGGTGTCTCAAATTCCTAAAATGCGCTACTTGTGGCGCATGTTGCTGCGAAGGTAGCAGGTCTGAAAACACCGACAAAATCAGCGAAGCGCTTGCCAAGGAAAGAAGGTGCAGAACTGCTTACCCTACCCTGCTGGACAGTCGTTACAGTGTACTTGAAAAATGCTAGCTTACCTTCATCCCCTGCCACCTGGAGGCATGGATCGCTAGAAAACGAAGTTTTCTTGACCTGAATTTGAACGCGCGTCTTCTTTATCGTAGTGTTGAGTGCTGAAGGGTCTGCCTCAAACTCTGATGAAGACGTCGACCTTAGCTGCAAGTGCAGCGAAGCGGGAGGCCACAAACTAAAGCTTGGTCCGTCGACAATGCTCTGCCTCTATTTCTAGCTGATTTCGTTGCCCCTCGAGTGGACTAAATAAATTCGAAAAATCGCTCTGGGAAGCGACAATTTTAATGACGCGGAGGAAGTACATGTTATGGAATGTAGAATAAATAAGTACACTCAAACGTCTCTTATCCGGACGCCTCAGATACGGGCACGTCTCTCTACCGGGCACCTTCAGCTTGAGTTCCTATGGCAAAATGCTTCGAATTTGAGGATTTTGAACCTATTTTCGTATGCACAATTGCATATTTGTCACTGCCAACTTGTGTAATCCACACATTTTCATCGATGGTTTATTTTTATCCTGAGCATGTGCAATACGTGCCAAATAAATTTCATCAAAAACTATGGTACGTGTTAGATGAGTTATCCTGAGATACGGGCAAATCTGAGATACGGGCAGTGCCCGGTCCCAAGGTGCCCGGATAAGAGACGTCCGAGTGTAAATAAATATATTCAAAGGATCAATCGGCAAAGTGAACTAACTGCCTGAAAAGAGAAAAAATGCCGAACAAACCAGGACTCGAACCAGGGACCTTGCTTGTCATGAGCCATGCTCTTATTTTTGGCGGAGTAATATTATCTGGATTTCCCAAAATCAACGGTTCGGCAGCGCGAAAATTTCGGTAAACCAGTTTTTCCGATCCCAAAATGCACTTTGCACACTGAGTGAGTGCGTTCGATTTTTTAAAAGCATTTTAATAGATTCATGAATGGATTCTCGTCATTCAATTTCATGTCATGAGCCCTGGAATCGATTCGGAATCCATTCACCCTATTCACATGCGGCGATGTGAATAGCCAGGGGCGATTCATGAATTGATTCATGAATCGATTCGCAGGCATTATCGAACGCACTTACTGTATGTCACGGCATGGTTGAATTTTAGGTCGCGTTTATTCAAGGTATGAATTATCTGTGCCCAAGTTTACGAAATTAGATCTCCACCGAAATTTTCCAGTTTTACAGTACTTCATTTCTCCAGCTGCACACACACACAAAGGAAGTGGCATGCATCGTTTCCTCCAAGGTTAGATTCGAGGGCCTCATTAGAAAGGCATCTCCTTGCACATCATACAAGCAGCTGGGCGATGTCCCAAAAAATATGTCCCACACTTTGAAACACAAGCGCACCCGGGCAGTATAACACATTCTGAATTTCACTGTCAAAACCAAAGAGTATTCTTTCTTGAGCAAGTTCACTTGCTATGCCAACAAATGGAACAAAGAATCATAATTAAAGGTGAACGGAAATCACATGGAAAGCTAGAGACAAAATTCAGTTAACAGAGCTTTTGCACTGATACAAGATTATAGTAGCCGGAGAAAGGCTCATTGTGTTCATGTAACATGGACTACAAACGCATTCGCCTTTGGCCTTTCCATGGACAAATGATGATGAGGAATCCAACACTGTTTAAACAAGACATCTGGCACCAAGTAATGAGACACGGTTCTGAATGGACGTGATATCGATAGTTGGGTACGTGACTGTTCTTCCTGGCCAGTTTGACTCGGCCTAATGCACAGACGCCCGTAGATTATAGTTCTAAAGCATTGTTGCTAGACTGTCGAAATCGATGACGGTGTTGTAGAAGTTAAAAATCCTACATGTACTTTGACGCGAGATGATGACCCCGCTGAGTGGATATGACACTCTGGTCGATCGCAGTGGAAGGAGACAATCACAGAATTAGTCGTAGTAGGCCGGTTACCCTGGTTACCACGCCGGTTACCGTGGTTACCAGTCAGGAGCGCACGCGTGCTACAACTGCTGCTCACAACGACATCTCAAAGTCGCAAGAATCGCACTCTCCTTCTCCTTTTTCTGGGTCTGGCACTAGATTTAGCGCGGCGCCTATGGAGGCCTTGGCTCTCGGCGAGGGTGAGGCCGCAGGCGTTTTGTAGTCGGCTGGTCGTGCCATGTCTATCCACATTTTCTGTATCAACGGAGGCGTCCTCGGATGGTATTCCTTCAGAATTGCCTCCATGGCTGGCGCCTTTTTCAGAGGACCCTGTGGATACTGTGGGGACGCGTGCCCAGACTCTGGTTGTTTATCCCCAGCACCACCAGCCCACGGCTTCATATGGTAGTTCTCGTCTAGCTGACGAGTCAATGACGATTTCCATTGATGCGGCTTATCTGCTGCTTCGGCACGTGCTGCCTCAGCTCTTGGTATTGCAGTAGGCTCTGAACTCTCTCTTTGTTTAGCACATGCTCCCTCAGCTTCGGGGATTTCAGCAGGCTCTGTCGGCTCCGATTGTGGTTCAGAAGTCTCGGCTAGCTTTGAGGAACGTCGGGCTGGTTTCAGCATTTCAGCAGGTGTTTTCAGGGGTGGTTGTAGTTTGGACTTGCCCAACGATTCTGTGCGATGATGTTGTTCTTCAGGAGTTGGCCATTCCTTACCCTGTGTAGATCTTGCAGCGGCCTTTTGGCTGTGTTTGTCCTTAGCTGGCGACAAGAAACCCCTTTCAACGTGCAATCTTGGACTTTGCGTTCGAGAATCAGGTGAAGGTAGAGAGGGAATCCATTCCAGCACGTTGGCCTCGTTGTCAAGTCTCGGTGGTACTGGCCTTGGTGCTGCGAGAGTTTGGAGTTCGATACCATCCCACTGATCTAATGCCCTGTTCTGTCCTCTGGTGCCGGGCGCGCGCTCAGCAAGAGGGATAGGTTTGCTGGGAACGTTTAGTAGCCTTCTTGCTGGTGATGTAAGCGAATATATTTGGTCTTCTGACGGTGGGTAGAGATATGACAGCTTCTGTGAATCACCTGGCTTGAAGGCACCTCGCGACTTGTCCGCTACTGCAGCACCAGCGTAACCAATCTCTTGTGCAGTGTCTTCATCGTTGGTTGGAGCATTCGGGCGAGCTCTAGCACTAGCGCTTGGACCAACAGTATCAGGGTGCCGGCCGGCTTCTCTAGGTAGCTCCTGTGCCGGGGATTCTTGAGCTTGAATTCCTGGTGCTGATTCCGTTTGGGTGCTAATCGATCTCGTTCTTGGGTACAGCAGATGCTGTCGAGCCTGTGGCTGGGGCAAATCATCCTGGTCACGTGCGCATGCTGTTAGCTGGTTCCCCATGGCTTCTGAGGAGCGCAGATCTTGAAGCTGGCTTGTGATACTGCTCCTCTGATAGAGGTTGTCGCTCCTCGGGGCCTCACTACACTACTAATGGTGCTGTGGAGCATGGATATGCTTTATAAGTATCTTTTGTCAATGGAATTGGTGAGATATTGAACACCACAACCAACAGCACCACTCAATTACGCAGCAGAACCTCAAAGCCCAGCATATCGCGCCTGCTTGTTCTCACGAAAACAACCATGTCAGTGATTCTAGTATCGTACTGTTATGGTGCGACTCTTCGACACTCTTGTGCAGTGCCGTGGTTGTGCTTAGTTAGAGTCATTTTTTCACATTCTCTGCGTGTTGTCGCTGCTACTGAACCCATGACACCATACAATTAAGTGTGAGCTTTTGCACATCTGCCACACGCTTACTTCATTGACAGTGATGTGCGAATAAAGCGTGCGAATCAAGCGTGCTAGATGTTATATGTACTGTGCTTCCCTGAATACG